TTCATTTTAAAATCTTTGGATTTTGAGATTAAAATTTTTTTGTATTTTTGAGTATTTCTTTTATTGAAATTTTTGTTTTTCGTTTTTTCAATTTCTCGATTTTTAATTAATCAGGGTTTTCAGGTTTCTGTATTACAATGTTTAGATTTTCAATTGTTTTTTCAATTTATTTGTTTAATTTCTCATTTTTTCATTTTTCGATTTTTCTATATTTCAGTTTTTAAGTCCCGTTTTTTCGTTTTTTCAAGTTTTCCTTATTTTTTCAATTCTTGGATTTCTCAGTTTTTTGATTTTTCAATTCAATTCAAAATTTCGGTTTGAATAAATTTGTCCTTTTGTTGAAGAATTAAAAAATGAAAAATCGAGAATTGCTTCGTTTTCTCAATTTTTCAGTTTCTCGATTTTTAATTAATCAGGGTTTTGAGGTTTCAATACTACAATTTTTCTATTTTTCAATTATCCGATTCAATTTCTCAATTTTTTCATTTTTCCATTTTTCAATTTTTCGATATTTCAAGTTTCATTTTTTAATTTTTGATTCTCATTTTTTAGGTTTTTTCAATTTTTCTTTATTTTGTTAATTTTTCGACTTCTCAATTTTTATTTTTTTTGATTTTTCAATTTTATAATTTTTAGACGTTTCAATGTTACAATTTTGTGATTTTTAAATTTTTAAATTTTTCAAAATTTCGGTTTGAATAAATTTGTACTTTTGTTGAAGAATTAAAAAATGAAAAATCGAGAAAATGAAGAATTGAAAATTGAAAATTTGAAAATTTCTCGATTTTTAATTAATCAGGGTTTTGAGATTTCAATATTACAATTTTTCGATTTATCAATTATCCAATTCAATTTCTCAATTTTTTCATTTTTCGATTTTTCAATTTTTCTATATTTCAAGTTTCATTTTAAAATCTTTGGATTTTGAGATTAAAATTTTTTCTATTTTTGAGTATTTCTTTTATTGAAATTTTTGTTTTTCGTTTTTTCAATTTTTCTCTTTTTCGATTTTTCAGTTTTTAATTTTTTGATTTTTCAATTTTTCAGTTTTACAGTTTTCCGATTTTTTCGATTTTTAAAATTTCACTTTTAATAAGTTTGTCCTTTTGTTGAAAAATTAAAAACCGAAATATTTTTGTTTTTTTTAATTGGTAATTTCTCGATTTCTCATTATGATTGTTATTTTTCAGTAAAATTTTTGTTTGTTTCGATTTTTTAATTTGCAGATATTTTAATTTTGCGATTTTCCAAGTTGCTTTTTCATTTTTCGATTTTCCATCTTTTTATAATTTATCGTTTTTTCGATTTTTCAATTTCTCAGTTTTTAATTTATGACTTTTTCAATGTTACAAATTTTCGATTTTACAGTTGCTGTTTTTTTCGTTACCCAATTTTCAGTTTGCCAATTTTTTCAATTTTTCGATATTTCAAGTTTGGTTTTTCAATGTTTGATTTTCAATTTTTCATTTCTTAAATTTTTCCATTTTTAATTTTTTTTTCCAAATTTACAATTTTGTAATTGTTTCATTTTTACTTTAAATTTTTCGGTTTTTCAGTGTTTCGTTTTTTCGATGTTACAATTTTTTAATTTTTCCATGTTTCGTTTTCACAATTTCTTACCTTTTTAAAAATTTTTGAATTTTGATTTTTTTTTTGTATTTTTGATCGTTTAATTTATAGAAGTTTTTGTTTTTCGTTTTTTCAATTTTTCACTTTCTCGATTTTTATTTAATCAGGTTTTTTCAGGCTTCAATATCACAATTTTTCTATTTTTCCAATTATCTCATTGTTCATTTTCTCAATTTTTTCATTTCTCGATTTTTCAATTTTTAAGTTTTTCGATATTTCAGTTTTTAAGTCCCGTTTTTTCGTTTTTTCAAGTTTTCATTATTTTTTCAATTCTTCGATTTCTCAGTATTTTGATTTTTCAATTCAATTAAAAATTTCGGTTTGAATAAATTTGTCCTTTTGTTGAAGAATTAAAAAATGAAAAATCGAGAAAATGAAGAATTGAAAATAGAAAATTTGAAAATTTTATATCGAAAAACTGCAAAATTGTTTCTTTTTGTTGATTTTTTCAATTTCTCGATATTTAATTATTTCGTTTTTTGATGTTTCAGTGTTACAATTTTCCGGTTTTTCGAAAGTTCAATTTGAATAACTTTGTCCTTTTGTTGAACAATTAAAAAATGAAAAATCGAGAAAATGAAAAATTAAAAATCGAGAATTTGAAAAATTTTAAATCGAAAAATTGCATAATTACTTCGTTTGCTCGATTTTTCAATTTCTCGATTTTCAATTAATCAGGGTTTTGAGGTTTCAATATTACAATTTTTAGATTTTTCAATTATCCAAATCAATTTCTCAATTTTTTCATTTTTCGATTTTTCAATTTTTCTATATTTCAAGTTTCATTTTAAAATCTTTGGATTTTGAGATTAAATTTTTTTGTATTTTTGAGTTTTTCTTTTATTGAAATTTTTGTTTTTGGTTTTTTCAATTTTTCAATTTCTCGATTTTTAATTAATCAGGGTTTTCAGGTTTGTATATTACAATTTTTAGATTTTTCAATTTTTTTTTCAATTTACTTGTTTAATTTCTCATTTTTTCATTTTTCGATTTTGCAATTTTAAAATTTTTCGATATTTCAAGTTTCATTTTTAATTTTTGATTCTCATTTTTTAGCTTTTTTCAATTTTCCTTTATTTTGTCAATTCTTCGACTTCTCAATTTTTAAATTTGTTGATTTTTCAATTTTATAATTTTTAGACGTTTCAATGTTACAACTCTGTGATTTTTAAATTTTTAAATTTTTCAAAATTTCGGTTTGAATAAATTTGTCCTTTTGTTGAACAATTAAAAAATGAAAAATCGAGAAAATGAAAAATTAAAAATCGAGAATTTGAAAAATTTTAAATCGAAAAATTGCATAATTACTTCGTTTGCTCGATTTTTCAATTTCTCGATTTTCAATTAATCAGGGTTTTGAGGTTTCAATATTACAATTTTTAGATTTTTCAATTATCCAATTCAATTTCTCAATTTTTTCTTTTTTCGATTTTTCAATTTTGCTATATTTCAAGTTTCATTTTAAAATCTTTGGATTTTGGGATTAAATTTTTTTCTATTTTTGAGTATTTCTTTTATTGAAATTTTTGTTTTTCGTTTTTTCAATTTTTCTATTTCTCGATTTTTAATTGATCAGTTTTTCAATTTGCAATTCGATTTCTCAATTTTTAAATTCTTCGGATTTTTAATGTCTCTTTTTCGATTTTTCAGTTTTTAATTTTTTGATTTTTCAATTTTTCACTTTTACAGTTTTCCGATTTTTTCGTTTTTTAAAATTTCACTTTTAATAAGTTTGTCCTTTTGTTGCAAAATTAAAAAACAAAAAATTTTTGTTTTTTTTTTAATTGTTAATTTCTCGATTTCTCATTATGATTGTTATTCTTCAGTAAAATTTTTGTATCGATTTTTTAATTTACAGATATTTTAATTTTGCGATTTTCCAAGTTGCTTTTTCATTTTTCGATTTTTGTGATTTTTAAATTTTTCAAAATTTCGGTTTGAATAAATTTGTTCTTTTGTTGAAGAATTAAAACATGAAAAATCGAGAAAATGAAGAATTGAAAATTGAAAATTTGAAAATTTTATATCGAAAAACTGCAAAATTGTTTCTTTTTGTTGATTTTTTCAATTTCTCTACTTTTAATTATTTCGTTTTTTGATGTTTCAGTGTTACAATTTTCTGGTTTTTCAAAAGTTCAGTTTGAATAACTTTGTCCTTTTGTTGAACAATTAAAAAATGAGAAATCGAGAAAATGAAACATTAAAAATCGACAATTTGAAAAATTTTAAATCGAAAAATTGCATAATTGCTTCGTTTGGTCGATTTTTCAATTTTTATATATTTCAAGTTTCATTTAAAAATCTTTGGATTTTGAGATTAAATTTTTTTGTATTTTTGAGTATTTCTTTTATTGAAATTTTTGTTTTTCGATTTTTCAATTTTTCAATGTCTCGTTTTTTAATTAATCAGGGTTTTCAGGCTTCTATATTACAATTTTTAGATTTTTCAATTGTTTTTTCAATTTACTTGTTTAATTTCTCATTTTTTCATTTTTCGATTTTGCAATTTTAAAATTTTTCGATATTTCAATTTTGGTTCTCATTTTTTCGGTTTGTTCAGTTTTTCTTTATTTTTTCAATTCTTCGACTTCTCAGTTTTTAAATGTTTTGATTTTTCAATTTTGTAATTTTTAGACGTTTCAATGTTACAATTTTCTGATTTCAAAATTTTTAAATTTTTCAAAATTTCGTTATGAATAAATTTGTCTTTTTGTTGAACAATTAAAAAATGAAAAACCGAGAATTTGAAAAATATCATATCGAAAAATTGCGAGATTTTGACGATTTTTCATTTCATTTCATTTCATTTTGATTAAAATTGGAAATCAAGACTTGAAAACTTTAAAATTGAAAAATTGCAAAATTGTTTCGTTATTCGAATTTTTGGTGTTTCAATTTCGAGAGTTTTTATTTTTTCGTTTTTCCAATTTTTCAATTACCGATTTTTTAGGTTCGCGATTTTCATTTTGAAATTTTTGGATTTTTAGTTTAAAATCTTTGTATTCTTCATTGTTTCAATGATAACAATTTTCCGATTTTCCAGTATTTTAGTTTGGATCGTATGGCTTTCCCTGGATCTATGAAATTGGAAATGAGCACACGATGAATAATATTTGAATTTGGCGGCAGTTCGAATGTGCTTTGTTATGATTGGTCGGCACGCGTACGGAAATAATTAATCTTTGCTATTTTCCTAACCTATGTTGGAAATATCGGGGTTCGAGAAATAGAAGATGTTTTCACCGACAGGACGTAAGCAAAACAAGATATCCGCCATGAATAACGATTTGTTGCAAATAATAAAAACAGGTACTTTATGTTGACAATTGTCCTTGAAGCTGTCAAAAAATTGTTGGTTAGGCAACCCGTGATGTCGACATGTTTGCGGTCAAGTGGACGTGTCCGCTTGAGAAAATAAACCCGAAATAACAAGTTGTTCGGTTGAAAATCGACTTCCGGGCGTGATGGTGTTGGTGTTTGGTGTTGTATGCGTGTCGTCGTTGTTTTTTTAAGCCCGAACCCAATTTCTTCTTGTGTAAAAAGTGGGGTAAACAGCGCAGGGTCCCGCCTCTCGCATACAGAAATCTGTAGGTCAATTATCGATTAGTCTCACGGCGCCCTTGTCGCGCAAATGTCAATGTTAGTAGTGCCAACTTGACGCAGTGTCGGTGGGTCCAAAAAGGCCGAAGTAGTCGCGATGGTAAACAGGAAAATGGGCTTGGGCAATGGACGTGCTGCGACGATTTGACCCGGCTCTCAGCTGCACCGACGGCCCGCGGGATGGGAATTCAGGCGCGTTCTCTGGTGCAGGTAACATCAGAGCGGACATGGCCACCAGCCTCGAGGAGCTGGACCTGCGGCAGCAGCTGCAGAACATGGAGAGCATCATCAACGTGACCCGCGCCAACATCGACGCCCTCAATGCCAAGTTCGCCGGCTTCCAGCACCCGCCGGCCATGTACCTGTCGGAGTACCGCGACCTCACCTGCAAGCTGCACGAGCTGGAGCAGCAGGGCCGCCGCCTCCAGGAGCGGCTGCAGCCCGAGCCCGAGCCGGAGCCCGAGGAGCCCGAGCCGGGGCCCAGCGCCGACGAGGAGCGCCAGAAGCCGCGCTTCCTTAGGGCGCACCTGCCCAACGAGCAGCGCACCAGCGTGCAGGTCCGCAAGGGGCTCACGCTGCGGGAGGCGCTGGCCAAGGCTATGAAGTTGCGCAATCTGGTCTGCGAAATGTGCTACGTCTACTGGGGCAACACGGACATGGTGGTCCACTGGGACACGGATATCAGCAAGCTCAACTGCGAGGAGATCACAGTCAAGATCTTGGATAAGTTCCCCATCGCGACGAGCATTTCGCACAATTTCGCCAGAAAGACGTTTTTCTCGTTGGCATTCTGTGAATGCTGCCGGAGACTCTTGTTCCAAGGGTTCTATTGCAGAACGTGTGGGTATAAGTTTCACCAGAGGTGCGCCAATGGAGTTCCTTCTCTATGCCATCAAGTATGTATTAAGGCGATTTTGTCACTTTTGTGTGTCTGTCTCTGTGTCTCATGTTCATGTTCTCAGCGCTTTCACCATCATCCACAAACAATTTTAATATATAGGGTGTCCCACTCTTAACAGACTTTTTCAATTTTAATGAAAAAAGTAGACAATCATTCTCCATAATAACCGCATTACACCATTAAAAATTGCCTTTCATGATGTCAGCTTCATTCCAAGTATTTTTAAATTTAAATTATCAAACAGTTTACACCTTACTGACAAATAAGATAACAATTTTTATGATAAAATCGTATACAATTCAAACTGACTGATTATTGTGTGTAGTTGTTATGATGAGATTATTTTGACCTAGTTCTATATGATCGAAAAAAATGACGTGTGGTCAGCCATGGAATTATTATTTTTTTTTAACTGGTGGCAGTACTGGCCATTATTCACTCCTCCAAAAGATTGATGACGTGTTCCTTTACATATAGTTTAAATTTTATAAAATAACGTACTCGTGTACTTGTGATTTATCAATCCGCCTTGAAATATTCCTCGAGGCATCGAAATTATACAGCAACCAAGCGGAGCTTCCACAAGGTTATTCGTCACCTCATTGCTTAAGTGTGCGATTTCGAACTTTCATGCGGTTTACCCCCTCGAAGAAATTGATGACGTCATCTCAAAATTGTGTCGAAAAGTCAAAAGTTTTTAAAATTGAAATCGAAATGTCGAAAAATTGAAAATTTTTAGAACGCCGAAAACCCGAGTTGTCAAAAAATCAAAAAATAGGAAAATCGAAAAATGTAAGATTGAAAAAATTTAAAAATTGAAAAATAGAACTATCGACGAACTGAGAAATCTAGAATTTATAAAACTGAAAAATAGGGAAATTGAAACATTTGAAATATAAAAACAGAAAAATTAAAACAGCAAAAATTTGGGAAGTCTAAAAACCGATAGAGAAATCGAAAAATTTTAAAAATTGGAAAATTGAAGAATCGAAAGATTGAAAAATTGAAAAATTAAAATATCAGAAATTTAAAGACTGAAATTGAAGAATCCAAAAACTTCGAAATCGAGAAATTGGAAAACCCAAAACTGAAGTAACAAAATTGGGAAATCGAAAAATTGAAAAACCGAAAATTCGAAAGATCGGACAATCGAAACATCAAAAAACTGTAAATTCTAAAATTTAAAAATTGAAAAATTCCAGAACTGAAACATCGAAAAATAAAAATTGAATAATCGAAAAATCAAAAAATCGAAAGATCGGAAAATCGAAACATCAAAAAATTTAAAAATCAAGACAGAAAAATCTAACATTTTAAAAATTGAAAAATTAAAATATCGATATGCCGAAAAGTCGAAAAACCGAGAAATCGAAAAACACAAGATTTAAAAACTTGAAGAATCAAAAAAACAGAGGAATGGAGAAATTGGAAAATTCCAATACTGAAATAACAAAATTGGGAAATCGAAATGTTGATACATCGAAAAATTGAAATATTGAAACATCCAGAAATCGATACGAAATGATATGGAAAATGAGATATCAAAATAGCCCAAAATCGAAAAGTTAAAAATAGAAAAATTTTAAGATTTGAAATTAAAAAAAAATCGAAAAATTGAAAAACCGAAAAATCGAAAGATCGAGCAATCGAAACATCGAAAAACTGAACTTTCTAAAATTTAAAAATCGAAAAATGTAAGATTCAAAAAATTTAAAAATTGAAAAATAGAACTATCGCAGAACTGAAAAATCTGTAATTTAAAAAATTGAAAAATAGAACTATCGACGAACTGAGAAATCTAGAATTTATAAAACTGAAACATCGAAAAACTGAACATTCTAAAATTTAAAAAACGAAAAATGTAAGATTCAAAAAATTTAAAAATTGAAAAATAGAACTATCGCAGAACTGAAAAATCTGGAATTTAAAAAATCGAAAAATAGAACTATCGACGAACTGAGAAATCTAGAATTTATAAAACTGAAACATCGAAAAACTGAACATTCTAAAATTTAAAAAACGAAAAATGTAAGATTCAAAAAATTTAAAAATTGAAAAATAGAACTATCGCAGAACTGAAAAATCTGGAATTTAAAAAATCGAAAAATAGAACTATCGACGAACTGAGAAATCTAGAATTTATAAAACTGAAAAATAGGGAAATTGAAACATTTGAAATATAAAAACAGAAAAATTAAAACAGCAAAAATTTGGGAAGTCTAAAAACCGAGAGAGAAATCGAAGAATTTTAAAAATTGGAAAATTGAAGAATCGAAAGATTGAGAAATTGTAAAATTCCAAAACAAAAGTGACGTAAAATTGGGGAAATCGAAAAATTTAAAAATTAAAATATCAAAAATTTAAAGACTGAAATTGAAGAATCAAAAAACTTCGAAATCGAGAAATTGGAAAATCCAAAACCGAAGTAACAAAATTGGGAAATCGAAAAATTGAAAAACCGAAAATTCGATAGATCGGGCAATCGAAACATCAAAAAACTGAAAATTCTAAAATTTAAAAATTAAAAAATTCCAAAACTGAAACATCGAAAAATAAAAATTGAATAATCGAAAAATTAAAATATCGATATGCCGAAAAGTCGAAAAATCTAAAAACCGAGAAAACGAAAAACACAAGATTTAAAAACTTGAAGAATAAAAAAACTGAGGAATGGAAAAATTGGAAAATTCCAAAACTGAAATAACAAAATTCGGAAATCGAAATGTCGATACATCGAAAAATTGAAATATTGAAACATCCAGAAATCGATACGAAATGATATGGAAAATGAGAAATCAAAATAGCCCAAAATTGAAAACTTAAAAATAGAAAAATTTGAAAATTTGAAATTAAAAAAAATCGACAAATCGAAAAATTTTAAAACCAAAAAACTAAAAAATTGAAAAATCGAAAGATCGAGCAATCGAAATATCGAAAAATGTAAGATTCAAAAAATTTAAAAATTGAAAAATAGAACTATCGCAGAACTGAAAAATCTGAAATTTAAAAAAATTAAAAATTAAACTATCGACGAACTGAGAAATCTAGAATTTATAAAACTGAAAAATAGGGAAATTGAAACAGCAAAAATTTGGGAAGTCTTAAAACCGAGAGAGAAATCGAAAAATTGGAAAATTGAAGAATCGAAAAATTAAAATATCAAAAATTTAAATACTAAAATTGAAGATTCAAAAAACTTCGAAATCGAGAAATTGGAAAATCCAAAACTGAAGTAACAAAACTGGGAAATCGAAAAATTGAAAAACCGAAAATTCGAAAGATCGGGCAATCGAAACATCAAAACACTGAAAATTCTAAAATTTAAAAATTGAAAAATTCCAAAACTAAAATATCGAAAAATAAAAGTTGAATAATCGAGAAGTCGAAGTCGAAAAATCAAAAATTCGAAAAATCGAATGATCGAGCAATCGAAAAACTGAAAAATTGAAAAATCCAGAAATTGAAATGTGAAAAATCGAAAAGTTGAAAAATTTTAAAACCCCGAAAACCCGAGTTGTCAAGAAATAGAAAAATGTAAAATTTAAAAAATCAGAAAATTGAAAAAAAAACTATCGAAGATTGAAACATCTGAAAAATAAAAACAAAAAAATCCAAACAGCAAAAATTTGTGAATTCTAAAAACCTACAGAGAAATAGAAAAATTTTTAAAACTGGAAAATTGAAGAATCGAAAGATTGAAAAATTGACAAATTGGAAAATTCCAAAACAAAAGTGACGTAAAATTGAAAAATTAAAATATCAAAAATTTAAAGACTGAAATTGAAGAATCAAAAAACTTCGAATTCGAGAAATTGGAAAATCCAAAACTGAAGTAACAAAATTGGGAAATCGAAAAATTGAAAAACCGAAAATTCGAAAGATCGGGCAATCGAAACATCAAAAAACTGAAAATTCTGAAATTTAAAAATAGAAAAATTCCAAAACTGAAACATCGAAAAATAAAAATTGAATAATCGAAAAATCGAAAGATCGGAAAATCGAAACATCAAAAAATTTAAATCAGAAATAGAAAAATCTAAAAATTGAAAAATTAAAATATCGGTATGCCGAAAAGTCGAAACATCTAAATACCGAGGAATGGAGAAATTGCAAAAAATTGCAAAACTGAAATAACAAAATTGGGAAATCGAAATGTCGATACATCGAAAAATTGAAATATTGAAACATCCAGAAATTGATACGAAATGATATGGAAAATGAGATATCAAAATAGCCCAAAATCGAAAAGTTAAAAATAGAAAAGTTTTTTAAAATTTGAAATTAAAAAAAATCGACAAATCGAAAAATTTAAAAACCGAAAAACTAAAAAATCGAAAAACTGAACATTCTAAAATTTAAAAATTGAAAAATTGTAAATGTCTCGAAGAATTCAAAAATTGAGAAATCAAAAACTAAAATTTTAAAAATTGAAAAATTAAAATGTTGAAAAATCGAGAAATCGAAATGTCGAAAAATTGAAAATTTTTAGAACGCCGAAAACCCGAGTTGTTAAAAAATCAAAAAATTGGAAAATCGAAGTATGTATCATGGCGATTTTGTCACTTTTGTGTACCTGTTTCATGTTCATGCTGTCACCGCTTTCAAACCACCATTTTCCACAAACAATTTTAATATATAGGGTGTCCCACTCTTAACAGATTTTTTCAATTTTAATGAAAAAAGTAGACAATCATTCTCCATAATAACCGCATTACACCATTAAAAATACCCTTTCATGATGTCAGCTTCATTCCAAGTATTTTTAAATTTAAATTATCAAACAGTGTACACCTTCCTGACAAATAAGATAACAATTTTTATGATAAAATCGTATACAATTCAAACTGACTGATTATTGTGTGTAGTTGTTATGATGAGATTATTTTGACCTAGTTCTATATGATCGAAAAAAATGACGTGTGGTCAGCCATGGAATTATTATTTTTTTTAAACTGGTGGCAGTACTGGCCATTATTCACTCCTCCAAAAGATTGA